CCCCACCCACCCCGCCCCCGGGCGCGCCCCTGGCCCCCCCCCCTCCGGCCCCCGCCCCACCCCCCCCCCGCGCGGGCGGGGGGGGGGGGCCCCCCCCCCCAAGCTGGTGCTCAGTCACCCAGCGACGACGTGGTGGGGTACACACCGCCCAAAGCCTTGATAGCGTTGCTAGATACATGTAGGTACCTAAGGTACCTAAGGATTAGATACTTATTACGTACCTGATGAATTGTCACTTTCAACCCATAGATGCCCAAGACAGAATATTCCCCCAAGTCCCATATTCCAGAGATTAGGAGGCATATTGTGACAGGCGGCCAAGGCGAGAAAGTTGCCCTGGTTTTCTACGCGAGACACACCAAAGCCTACATTAGTTGCAGTCCCGAGGAGAAGGCATTCTGCGCTGTTGTCTAATTAACATCGAGAGGGACGAAGCAGCTGGCTAAGCGGGAGCTTAATCATTAGACTTGGCTGGAGTGTCATATGTAGGCTCCATTACTATGTTGTCTAGGTAGGTACCTACCTGGTATATGCAATTCATATCACCCAAAATATTAATCACCTGAAAAGGCTGCTCGCTATAAGCACCATCATGATCCGACCCTCTCCAACGCCTTTTGTACCCGGACGCGCGGCGAGCCCTGTGTCAGTCGAAGGAAGATCTCCGAAACCCATACCAAGATATTGATGACGACCCAAAGCATCGTCGTCTTCACAGCCGTCTCGGAGGCTGTCTTCCCTACCCCTTCCTCCTCCCACTTCGCGCACAGCTCGAGAAAGCGTTTGGGGTCGTCGGTGATGACGCCGTCGACCTCGTTGCGCAGGCTCCGAGCCATGTGTACTCATCTTCGTTGTCGGTCCACGAGAAGACGAGCTTGCGGTGCTGCTTAGCCTGCGTGAGGAACTGCGACCCGCTTGGCGTGGAGAAGGAGATGTTGAACAGGTTGAAGCTCAGATTGGGGAACCGACAGCCGCGCCGCGGCGAACTCGGGCGAGAACGCGGTTATTGCAACTGGGAACTCTGGGAGGAATCGCAGACACGCTCTCAGCCAGTTTGCCTCGAAGAGAGTCAACGAGGATATCCGTGGCTGGAACCGCAGCGGGGGGAGGGGGGGGGGGAGACTTACATCCCAGGACCCTAGTATGATACGTTGATTCCATGGCCGAGTTGGTGAGATAGAGGCAATGGCTGCGGCTAAGCAGCTTAACATCCGAGTCGAGTCATCATCGGTCTGCCAAAGCACGTGTTAGGAGTTGAAACTTCTTAAGACAAGACGCTTTGGCAAATACCTTGATATCCAGGAAGAGCCATAGGTGCTCCCGTCCAGGCTCGTTAAGGTACGCGAGCAGGTCCACCAACCGAGGAATGGGCCCCTTCGGCTCGCGTAGAGTACGGAGCGTCCTCAAGCAGTCCCCAGTCACATTCGGCTAGCTTCCGGGGCACGCCGAAACATCTTTTCAGCGTCGGGTCCTGCAAGCCAACCCTTGTTCAGCCGGAGAGTCGGAACGGGGGAAGCAAGCCCACACGTAGGTATGGCGGAAACAGAGACGGAGATGAACCTACATGCGACAGCACGACGACGCCGTCTTTCGACAGATGCACAAGTCGGTCTCGATCGCGTCGGCCCCGACGTCCGCCGCGCCCCGGAACGCGGCCATCGTGTTCTCCGGAGACGCGGCCTTGTAGCCGCGGTGGCTGATGGCCTGATTCCGCACCGAGTCACGCACCTGGCGGAAGACCATTCATCTTCCCGCTGTGTTCGAGTTGAGGATGTGTGCGTGAACATACCTAAGCATAAGGCTGTGGTTCGGGGGTAAGAAGATTACAAGGTGCCGAGCGCTCCGGAACAAGTCTATTCCTAAGAACTCTGTCGGCTACCCCTTGCACGGTTTGTCAAACAACAACTTGAAGAAGAATAAACTCAATTACTTCATCTAATCCAATTGGTGTCAAATATATAGTCTATCTGCTTCTTAGAGCTTACGAAAGTCGGATTGAACAGATATACACCTCCTGATAACCAGCGGGAGTGACGGCGATATTGCCTTACCTTACACGTTTCACATACGACGTACGTGTTGTATCGACAACTAGAATTATCGCGGCGCAGCGATTTGGAAGTTATCACATCACGCCGCGGGCGAACTGTTTTCCCACGAATGCTTGTATGAGACGCGCGACGACCTGGTCGATCTTATTCTATCCCACAATTCATTGCGCAACCCCCTTAGGGCTCAATTGTTGATAAAAATCTCGGTTTCGATTTCGGTGTGAAAGTAGTGGTAGGTAATAATGATCATTGAATTGATAGCTTCGGTCCGAATTTCTCAACATCTCAATGGCTTTTCTAAATTGTCTCTGTCAAACATCAATTCTCACCTTAACCCCACTCGTTCCACTCGCTTGATTATTTCGGGAGGTATCGCAATCTATCACAAATCGAAAAGGTACGAGATGAACTTAGTATTGCGTGAGTCTGGCGTCGTACGCCCGCGATGCGCATTATAATAGGACAATAAGGGTTCGCTTCAAGCGATGACCTCACAGTCGGGTTTCGCGAGCTAATGAGAGGGGCCCAGCGCCATTTCCGGCGGGGCTAAACTGCAACACTTGCCGAAAGGGAAGACGCTCCGATGTGGAGCGGAGATTCCAAGATTTGAAGATTTGAGAAGGCCACTTCGCTTTCTATTTCAAAGAATGTAAAAGAAGGTAGCTTGAAAAGATTGTTGTAGTGCTTCTCATTGATTTCGAAACGACCTCTAATTATTCCAGATATCGGCATTTCGTTTCAACTTCACCAAGTTCAAGATCAACCTGAAAAAAAGAAAATGGCTCCGACAGGCATAGCGATCATCGGTGGGGGCATCTTTGTTAAGGAGCAGCACATTGTAAGTGAAATGTCCGGGGAATGATTTGGGATTATCCACGCCAGGCACTTGATAGTCAAAGACGTTGCCGATACGAATTGAGGATTGAGAGCCTCAATTTCTTGTGTGATCAGGAAGCTAATATGTGACCAAAGCCTGCTGCTCTGGCCTCTCCCCTGCTCACCATCAAGGCCATCTGGTCTCGGTCGCTTAAGACCGCCGAGGATGCCGCAAAGTTGGTTCCCGCCGACAACGGTCCGGTGGACCTCTACTCTACCGACTCCGGAACTGGCAAGGCATATGAGGATATCCTTAAGCGCGACGACGTCACCGGTGTGATCCTCGCCCTGCCAATCCCAGACCAGTGAGTTCCCCGTTCTACATGCTGTCCCACGCACGTTAGCTGACCGCTCGATAGGCCGTCGTACATAAAGAAGGCACTGGCGGCGGGCAAGCACGTGCTAGCGGAGAAGCCGCTGGCCAAGGACGTCGCGACGGCCGTCGAGCTGATCGAGTACTACAAGCGGGTGTCGGCGGAGACGGCGGCGTCGTTCGCCGTGGCCGAGAACTTCCGGTTCACGCCCAGCTACTTGTACGCGGCCGAGGAGGTCAAGAAGCTAGGTAAAGTGACGGGCTTCGTCGTCCGCGTGGGCTTCATGATGGAGACGTCCAACAAGTACTACAACACGCCGTGGCGCACGACGCCGCAGTACCAGGGCGGCTTCCTGCTCGACGCCGGCGTGCACTTCACGGCCGCGACTCGGAAGCTGCTGGGCGGCGACAACGCCGTCGAGAGCCTCGTTGCTCAGACGGCGTTGGTACAAGACCATCTACCCCCCGTAGACTCCATCAACGCGATCCTCAAGACGAAGTCGGGCGTCGTCGGATCCTTCATTAACTCCGTGGGCACGACGCTAGGAGCTTTTGAGTACGCTATCGCGTGCGAGAAGGGTGCGGTTAAGGCCGAGGCGACTAAGGTAACTACCGTACGCGGATATGGGCAGAATGCCGCGACCGAGGAGAAGGCGTTCGAGCAGACCACTGGCGTCAAGGAGGAAGTACAGGCATGGGCGGAATCCCTTCTCTCCGGCATCCCCAACCCCAACCAGACCCCTGAGCTGGCTCTCGGTGACCTAGAGCTGCTCGAGAAGATGTTAACGAGCGGCGACCAGGATGGCGCGCGCCAGACGCTGCAGTTTCAACACTTTGAGTAGGGTAATAGGTTCCTGTGATAGACAATAGTACGAGTATGAGGTAGGTAGGATTAACCGCTATGAGATGGTGTGTAGATAGGACCAGGCACCCTAGATCCATAGGCAGCGTAGGATCGAATGGAACTTCCCGCTATTGCATCTGGCATCGGAAATTTTCCATTCTACAGTTTACTAGTCGATTTACTAGTGGTACTAAAATCCGATAGACTCGGGTGTGACGGCGAGGGCGACGGGGGGACGACAAGCAGCTTCTCGAGCCCCTGTCGCAGCTGAGCGTTCATGCCGCCGGCGTTGGGCCGTTGAGTGGCGCGGTCGACGAATACATGGACGAGTTCGCCCACGGCCTTGACCTGCTCGACCCCCTTCTCGAAGAGTGCAACCTCGTAGACAACGCTGGAGCGTCCGAGCGTGTTGACGCG